TATATATATATATAAAGATTATTGCATGAGATTATTCATTTTATTATTACTGAATTAAAAGCTAGATTTATGAAAGAAACCCAGGTTAGCATTTAAAATCAAAAATGCGTAATTCAAAACATAATTTTTATAAGTTAATTAGTTTTATGATTTAGTTCTTGCTATTATTTATTGAAATGCATGCTAAGATACCGTTGTCAGTTCCATAACTGTTTTTTAAAAATTAACGAGACCTTTTTTTTTTGCTCCATGGCATCAGTTTCCACATAATAAAATTGTTATGCCATGTCGAATTTTACAAATTAAGGTTAGATAAAACTAGCATCATTTTTTGAAAAAAATACGAACGTGAATTTGAATTTATGTTTTGAATTTAGGAATAGGAATTTAGGTTTCAATATTAATTATAAAGCTTTGGTCAATTTATTTTGACTTAAAGAAAGAAACTGGAAGTGTCAACTCGTTAAATTGTAAAACAAGATGCATTTTTTTTGCATACAATTAATTGTTCAGTCATAAAATAAAATATGCAAAACATTTTGTCTGCTTTTCATTGTTTTCAGGAATATTTATTCATTGAAAACGCAAGTATGGAAAAAATAATGTAAAGAATGGCAGAATTAAGCTAATAAATTGCTGCTGTAAAAATCCTTTTAAGACGTAGAATTATGCAGAAACTTTTGAAATTATTACTCTTGATAATAGTTTTTGACTTTTATTCTAATTATTGACTCTTTATGTTTATATTATAGCTTTCAATTACGGAGTGATATATTAAAGTAACTTTCTAAGCCATAAAATTTGCATACCGCAGAAATGAATTAAACTTATCGATGTATTCAAAATGCAAATTATGATTTTTGATAATTGATAGCTTAATATATACTTCTAAATGAACAATATTATTTACATACTATTTATTAACCTGAGAAACTATCAGCAAAGAAAACAAATCAGCCTGATTAAGGTATCACACCTTGCGTTTCTTACTTATAAGTTTCATTTAATTGTATTAGGATTTAATTAAAATGATTTTACTAGAATTAACTCTGTATTATCAAAGCAATTTTTTTATAAATTACTTTTTTTCCCATTCTATACTTTTTTCGTTTAAACTTATGTTTTTAATAATT